GCGGAGCTGCGGTGGGCTCGCCGCCCTCCACCCGGTGCTCTGGCCGCCACTCCGCCCTCCCCCCGGCGCTCTGGCCGCCGGGGACAGTGGAGCCGCGGCGGGCTCTCCACCCTCCTCCCGGCACTCTGGCCGCCGGGGAGAGTGGAGCCGCGGCGGGCTCACCGCCCTCTTCCCGGCGCTCTGGCCGCCGGGGAGAGCAGAGCCACAGCGGGCTTGCCGCCCTCCCCCCGGCACTCTGGCCGGTCGGGGAGAGTGGCCTGCGGCCGGGCTCGGTGCCCTCCCCTGCCGCGCTGGGGGGAGGGGCGGGGGGCGGCGGGAGGCTTTTTTGCCTGGGGCAGCAAAAAAGCCAGAGCTGGCCCTGCTAGACACCATGGCGAACGGGATCCTGCAAACACCATTGATCAGATATAACAGTCTCCAGGGACTCACCACCCATTCCCCAAGGGCTTATGTCCCAGTCCCTGAGGTGTTGCTTCGCATTCCAGTAAATGGTTTCAGCTGTAAAGCTAGATATATGGCATCAGCATCATGGACTTACAGTACAGTACCTTTGAACATGGGCGCTAATTTCCAGACCCCCAATCCACCAACAGAGGTATACTGGCCGAGAGCTGTCTCCAGCAGGAAGAGAGGAATCCCAGCAAACACCAGCGTCAGAAAATAGGGAATCAGGAAGGCTCCTGAAAGAACAAACAGCTGTTAGCAGCAGGTTCTGCAAGGTCTCATCACCACAAGACTTTTGGGGCCCTGGCCACCTCTTCTCCCCAAGAAATGTAAAGCTCATCTCACAATTACTGCACAAATCCCCAGGCTCACGTTGCAGTCCCAATGCTCTGTTCCAGCTCCAGTTCTCAATGCCACCCCCAGCTTTGATTCCCCTGTTCGATAGTGAACAAGGGTTGTTCCATGGTGGCTGTTCAATTACTATTTGGACTGTATCTTTCTCTATCACTTCTTCCTTCTCACATCCCCATCACCCTCTGCCCCATCACCCATGTGCTGATCTGACTTATCGGTCTAGATATTTATACCACACTGATCAAATGTGTTATCTGAGACCAAGGCAAGAAAACAGAAACAGGAACTGGTAGTTCATGGGCAATTTGTTCTCTCTCTCCCCACCAGCCCAACAGCAGACAGGAGGCTTTGGCATTACCCATTAGTTCATTTGTTAGCTATTGTGTTATTGTTGCAGAAAAGCTAGGGCAAACCAGCTGGGTCTTGCAGCTGGACCCGCCGGCAGCGAGATTTGAGGTCAGTCGGATTTCTTGAGGAAGGCAGTTCTGCAGCCATAGGATGGCTGTTGGGAAAGCTCAGACTCCAGCTTTCGCAGGTCTAACACAGGTTGTAGAGAGCTCCATTGTCCTTAAGATGGATGCTGTCACAGAGGGTCCTGATTGTGGAGAGAGTGGTGGTTGCTCAGCTACCTCAGACCCAACCCCCTGAGCTCTGAAGATTTGCACCATGACTTTGAACGGACACTCTGTTTAACGAGGAGGGAGTGACATGACTGGAGCACTGCAGTGATACACTCCCACCTCCCAGGGTCACTCAGCAGAGGGCTGCTGCGTTCTGGATTAGCTGGGTCTTTCTCC